TTTGGCATGACTATCAATAAGAGTCAAAGCCAAACATTGTCATTTGTTGATTTTTTTTACTAAATCAGAATTCACTCATGATCAATTTAATGTTGCAGTTTCACTAGTAAAAGTAAACACAAGATTGAAAGTGTTAGTTTAGATGACAATAGTAACCCTTGCAACTTCACCAAAAATATGGTTTACCATGAAGTGTTTCAAAAGATTTGGATTTGATGTATGCATTTATATGTTCTTTTCAATTTATATATAGATGAGTTTTAGTTAGCAAATGTTTATGATATATCATTCATTAAAATTCTACAGTTTGATATTATATTTTGTTTGATTTATAAATCATTAACTAAGAATAAAAATTCAATTGAGTTAACAAAACATTCGTTCAACCTCGTGCGTGGAACGGGTTAGAATACTACTTTCATATCATGCCACACTTCTTATGCATTGGAGTTTCAAATTTTTATATAAAGGATTTTTCTAGTTGATTTTTCCTTATCAATGTTTGTATAATTTTGACCTCGATGTATGAACGAAAAAGGAAAATTATTACTTGCATCTATGATTCGTGGTGGATTTTCATGTATGCTAAATAAATATTTTCAAATGTTGACATAAAAAAAATACGTGAGAAGGTCAATACGGACCTTAGGTCTACTATAGAGTTACTCATGAAAAAATATTATGTTCCAATATAAGTATAATATGAATGGTTTTATTTTAATATGTTGTTTAAAAATAATAGAATTATATAAAACATATCTTTCAAGTACATGAAAAATGTGATAAACGAATAAAAAATTATGGAGTGTAAGTACAAAGGGAAATGGAAATAAAGAAAACTAATTGACATAAATATAGAATACCCGTGCGATAGTGGAAGAAATTGCTAAATCATAACAAATTTTGGGAGTATTTGGAGGGAAGAATTATTTTTAGTTTAGATGGAACAATTTATTTTGCCCTGTGGCTTTTAAAGTCAAAATAATATTTCTAATTTCCTTAACATAAATAAATAATATATAAATGGTAAAATTTGGGGTACCATAATAGTAATATATAGAGGGTAACTTATATTATACTCAGTTATATTCTTTATTATGCATATAAGAAAAAGATGAAATTTGATTTTGAGATTATAAACTAAATGTTACTGTATTTTTTTCCAACATTAATACATAAACCAATTTTTTAAAAAAATTAAAGAAAAAATAAAAAAGCATTACTAGGACGAAAATATGAAGTGGGTATGAATTATTATAATGATATTATTATTATTATTATTTTAATTATTATTACTACTACTTTAAAAACAGGATAAACAGTGGAACATTATTCACAAAAAATGGACTGTTAAAAAAAATAGGTAGAGTAATAATATTATTTTTATTAATTTAGTTAAATTTTTATATAATTTTTTTAAATTCTATAGAATATTAAAAAAAGTCAATGGGATGAAAATATAGAGTGGATAATAACAATAATAATAGTAATAAAACGTGGAGTGTTAATAATAATAGGTGGAATATAAATAATTAAAAGTCTATTATTATAATTTTAGTTAATATCAGATACTCACTCCATTCATATTTAAGTGTCAGTTTTACTTTGTATGCCAAATGTTTGGCTAACTATATATAAAAATATACAATAAATAACAAAATAAAAATTATACCAAATTATTGATATTGAAATTTTTTTAAATGTATTATTTTTTATATTTTTCTGATAATATATTTTAACAGATATTATTGGTCATGTAACGCCCCAAAACATACCCTAGAATTAATAATGAATAATTATTAAATTAATCAAATTTGTTTTGATTAAAATAAACTGTTGTTGGGCTTTGGGCTGAATGAAAATATGTTTTCATATCCAATATCACAATCTGGATAAATCTCATAGAGATAGATCCAATATGTTAATTTATTGTGTGATCTTGATTGGGAACTTGAGTACAGACCCAAATTAAAAATAAATAAAAAATTTGATTTATGATGTAAATTTTGAAATGATTTATTGAAATAAATCATGAGAATAAATAATATGAATGAAACGTAAGAACTTTTCTGAGTAAAGGTCAACTAAATCTGTTTTGACTTTGTCTAAGTCAAACACTCAAAAATATGATGTCAGAAAAAGTATTACAAATAAATATAAAAATTCTATCATTGGATAGAGTTTAACTGTCTAATCGCAATGGTGCAAACAGATATCAATTCGGAGAAAATTGGACCAAAAAGTGTACCCCGACTGGGACCAAAATTAGTCCAAAGCAGGAAAAAATCGTGTAAATCTCTAGACTGCGCCTCCTACTCCACTACGCCAATCGACGGCACTAAGCACAATGATTTGCTTGGCTTCTTCCCTTCATGACATTGTTATATAAACCCTCTCAATCTTTTCATTCTTCACCAAAACTTAATAAGTTTAGTATCATTTTGTTTTTGAGAGTGCGAGGAGTGCAGTGGTGTTGACAAATTGGTGTGAAGTCGCCAGAGTTGGAAGTAATTGTCGCCAAAATGTTGGCCGGAAAATTTCCAAAACCTCTCTTTAAGCTCGAGGTAAGCCCGTAGATCGTTTCTGCGTTCATAAACAGTCGTTTGGTTAAGTTTTGTGTTTGACATGTTTGAAAAACCAAGAATCATAAACCTTGAATTTGATGTTAAAACTACAAATTAATGATACCAAAATGATCTATAAACCTTGGAGAACATTTCTATATAGTTTAATTGAAATTTGGTGACTAAAAATGGTATTTTCAAAATTGGACCCGACGAAGAAGACGATGAATAGTAAAATAAAAAAAATGCAGAGAGGATCGATCCAGGGGTGGTGGATCGATCCCCTAGGTGTTTTCTTCTCTAGCATGGATCGATCTAGAGTACTGGATCGATCCCCCGAAGTCCTGACCCGAAAATATTTCTGAAAATGTTATTTTAAGCTCTAAGATTATATTTTTGATACCAATCAATTATGATCAATATAAAGATGATTTCTCACAATAAAAATGATATTTTTAACAAATAAAAACTTATGTGATGCATGACGTTAGCATTAAGTCTAGTCTCTAATTTGTTGGATATAAATCCCTCAAATCCGAGTGTATGAGGAGATTTATTTTTGCTGCTTCTACAAGTCACTTGTAGGACTTGGTCACAGTATGTCTGGAGTTTGTGGAATTAATTAAATAAAAGAATGAAGCATAGTAGTCAAGAAACAAATGACAATGATGATCAAGATTATCTTTATAACATCACTATGAAATAAGTGAGATAACAAACATTGAAATGCAATATATTGATTTTGATAGTATCAGGTGGTGTTAGGAGTTACGACATAAACTAGAACTAAAAGGGCATTCCAACCAGAGTTAGAAACGTAAAAATACATGAACAACATGGAGATTAAGCTTACTTGAGGACATTAATAAGCTACATCGCCAAATATTCGTTAAGAAGATTATTATGATTTAGTTATTTTTATTTGGATGGTTTAATTTAGCATGAAGTACTTTTTAGTCATTTGTTTACAAGTACTACACATTTTGTATTCTTTGAATGATTCTGTACTATCTGATTTGTATGTTAAATCATACTTTTATATTTGATTTTCCTATCAAATATTAGCTTTGTTTTATTTTTGAAAAGCTCATAAGTCATTTTCCAACATTCTTGGAAGCAAGAAAGGTTATTCCTCTGGCATAGGTAGGGGAGGAAACAAAAGCAGCTTCAAAGATGAAGGGTGAATAATCTCACTTAGAGGTGTATGATGTTTGTATATTCACTATGGTTCATTTTGTTTAAGAATTTGTAAAACCTAACAGTTTGCAATAAATATCAATTTTTTGTTACGTAAAAGTTAAAATATGAGTTTATTTTTAAATTTTCAAAATAACAAACAGTTTCATTCTTACAAAAACTCAAGCTGTTGTCCTTTTCATTTGATGGAACTCATTTTTCATTGCGAAATTAGGGAGACACGATGGGCAAGTATATTAAAAGTTCTAAGGATATTAGGGGTTGAAATCAGTGAAGTGTTCATCTAATCATTTGAAAAGAAAATTCATTTTTGAAGTATTAGATTTGTATTCAATTCACCCTTCAAAAAAAACATAATTGTAATACATTATTTTTTTAACATTTATTATTTAAATTATAATAATTTTTCTACCCGTGCATTCCACACATACTAAATTATACTCCCTCCGTCCATAAATAAACTTTACATTACGCGTTACGATGTTTGACTGAAGTTATTTTCAAATCATTTTATATGAAAAATGGTGTAGAATTGAAAAATAAAAATTACATATTAAAAAACTATATCAAAAGATCTACAAAACTAGAGGTGACATGACAATATTATTTTATCAAATGGGTGACGAAAATAGGCCAACAAAGTGAATAAAGTTTGACCCTGTGAATAGTAAATGTAAAGTTTATTTGTGGGTGGAGGGAGTAATAATTTTTCAAAGGAGTAAATTCTATAATCGGTCCTTTGTAACAGAGGGGTTTCCATATTTAGTCCTCTATTATCAAATATTACCCCGTAGTCCTTTTTTTAAGGGTGTCTTTCCACAAATGGTCCTTTTTTTGATCTTCTACCATGTTGGTGTTAATTTAAAGGCTAAAAGTATAATTTGACATCAACATTATGTCTAGTGACGTGTTCTGACATTGGTTAAGCGGATAACACAAAAATAATGACTATGATCGTGGGCTAGGATTCTGACGAAAGACCACATTTTTCGACTATGGTTGTAGTTGAAAGTGACTGTAATTCACAAACGACGCAAACGGAACAACCTTTGGAATTGTGAATGAAAAAAAAGATATATTATCATTGTGAAATTATACTTTTAGTCCTTAAATTAATACCAACATGATAGAAGATCAAAAAAAGGACTATTTGTGAAGGATCACAAAAGTAATATTTGAAAATAGGATCACAAAAGTAATATTTGAAAATAGGAACTGGACCCAAACCCTAGTCCGGGAAAGATCTGACAACCGCTTCTTCTGAGCGGGCAGTTCCTTTCTCGTCCCCTTCCTCTCTCCAATCTGCAGGGAAAAAAGACTCCCGTAGCCCATCGTCAGATTCACCTCTCTCTACTCCTTCCAAACACTGACGTCCTTACTCCTGTGTATTACGCTCCTGATTGAAAAAAACTCCATTCTGTTCACCGCATTAGCTCTCCTAACACTACCTGAGCCTGTTCATATCCCAGTTGGATGTATTCCAGCCATGTCCGAGGCCTTTGACTTCTTATCCGGTCAACCTCACTCCAAGTGGAGTGTCCTACGCGAGGTGTGTCGTACTCCTGTTCAAGTCTTATTGTGTCTGCACTGTAAAAAATTTTAGTTTCAGTTTAAATTTTACACACATATTCATGTCTGTTTTTCTGAATGGTCCGACTTGTGTATGATTTATGATAGCAGCTGCTTTTGACTTTTTGTGTTTTGATGGACCAGAGCGTAAATGATAACTTTCACTGGCTTATTGAGATTTTGGGTTTATTGAATTGTGGCTAGCATTATTCCGTTGATTGTAAATACTTATATTATTAATAGATGCATTAATTCATCATTTTTTCTCCTTCACATTTTGTTTGTACATGTAATGTATATGGTGTTAGGGCGATTGTCTATTTTTAACTATATACCTATTAGTTTAGGATGGGACTGCATGAACAAGTCTAAAATGTGTAGCTCTGGTGACAGACCACTTTTGTGTTCAACATGGACTAGTTTATAGCAGATTTAGTTGTGTTACGGCCATGTCTTTATTAGTGAAGAAGTCAGTGATCTGTTAGCCCTTTTCTTTGAAGAAACCACCATAAACTTTTTTTAATTGAAATTTAGGAGGAAAGAGATCTTCTGTTATACTCATTTGTAAACAATTCTTTTGAGTAGTGCAATGAATGATCTGGGCTTCTAGGAATTTAAAAAAGAATTATGTGTTGGACAGATCTACTCATCTACAGTGTAAATCTGCAGTCCCCACTGCAGTCTGGAACATCGATCGGTATACATTGCATAGGCTCATGATCTTATTCGTGATTTAGATAACAAATCCCTGGACGTTGCATGGAATCACATGACTCTACGAGTCAACTCATGAATTTGACTATGTAGACTACACTTGATGCTTACACAGCATACCCCTTGTATTTAGTTTTTATTTGGTTTAAGTTTTGTGTTTTCATACCATAAATGTTCCTGGGTCGGTATTCCCATATCCTACAAAATGAAAAGTTCTGTTGACAGTCTTTGTTTATTTTTGAAATATTGCTATTCTTGTTTTGCTCAGCACTATTTATACTTAGTAATGAATATCTCCCTTGCATCTTACGCCTTCCTTTTCACTCTTCTTACCAGTGTGCTGTTAATTGTGGAATTGGGCACATATTCAGCAAATTGATTACTGAAATTGGAGATCCTGTTGACTTTGAACTTCCAAACTGGTTAAATAAGTGGCAGCCTATGTCATATGTCAATATAAGACGCAGTATCCTTCTAACTAAGTCACAACATAATAGGAGAAATTGTCAATTACAATTAACTAGTTGATTCTCCTTGGTTTATAAGGGTGGTCTGCGATATCACATCATCTAGAGTATCTTATATTCAAGAAATAATTTTGTTTTTTTGAATGTGATTTACATCATTGACTTGTATATACATGAACTGATTAACTATTTAAGATATATACCATACTAAGAGAATTAAGAAGCGTTTGAAAGATGATGGCATTTTTTGTTCTTGCAACTCAGTTGGTGGATCTCCTGCTGTGTGTGGTAGAGATTGCCTTTGCAGGTGAGACTTTACTTATTAAACTTCTGCAATGAGTGCAGTGCATGTTAGTCCTATTTAACATTGTTGAATGGGTGCCATTTAATTCCATTATTTTGACCATTGCAAACACGCTTAACATCATAGCTAACCATAGTTTCACCCTATTTGATAAGTGATCTTTTGGGACATAGGGTAGTGGTACACATATTAAGAAAAAATGAAATGGTGTGGTTGATTTTGATGCTAATAACTAAGAAAAAGTAAGAATGAATACTCTTACTAAATATGGTATGATACAAAAGTAGGACGGACAAAAAGGTTAAATGAGACAAAAATAGTCGGATGGAGGTAGTATTTTAATAATTTTCTATAATTTTCTTCATTTTTGGATTGCCCTAACTTTTTTAAGTGGGTTCTCTATTTTTCTATAATATTATAAATTTTAATAAATACTAAGGAAGACAAAAATACTAGAACTTTAAATAAATTTTTCAATAAGTTTTTGTAGTGGGTTCTCTTCCTTTCAGTTGTAGTATAGTCCTGAATGCTATAACAAACTTTTGAATTATATCTTTGTAGGATTAAGATTATTAGAGAGAGATAGGTGTTCTAAGATATCTAGATATGTGGTTAGGCCATTTACAACGGGTGCCCCTTCCCATTTCCCTCCTCAAACCTCTGCATTGCCACATCATCATTCCCCTCTTTTTCTTCACCCGGCCAAAACACCTACAATGATATTGCCCTCTCTCTCTCTATGCCTCTCCATTTAATTTACAATGCCTCTCCATTTAATTTACAGTATTCATCAAATTTACTTAAAAACTTGTAATAATTTCATAAAAAATATTTATCTATTAATAAAAATAGATAATTAACAATAAAATAATAAAAAAGAATTATAACAATAAAAAATATGCAATGAAATATAAAATATTAGAAATAAATATAAAATATAAATCCCTACCTACAGCGCGGCGAGGTGCTACAGTCGCTCGAGCCACTCACCCGGCTCCCCTTCCCATTGCACATGCTCTTATGTCCTTGCATTCTTTTCTTTAGTTCACTGCAAAAATTATTTTGTAGTCTCTCTCTCATTTGCAGGTGTTTTTCTTTTAATCCATGAGCTCATTTCTCCTGTGAACAATGATGTAAATCCATTTGAAAATAGCTTACATTCATAGTTCATGTTTCATCCATATAGAAAAGTTATCAAGAAAAAAGTAATTTGAACTCTTGCATGAGTTGTATTTGCAAATTGTAATAGTTGAACCTGAAAAGTTGTATTGAGAAGAGTATGCATTGAGGAAGAGTTCTTTTCTTGAACATCTACTCCCTCCGTCCAAAAAAGAACTTCCCGGTTTGACCCGGCACGCAAATTTATGTGTGATGAAAATTGTGTTGACTTTCCCATTATACCCCTCAGCCCTATTTTCCCTCTCCAGCCCCATGAACCATCTACGGGTGTTGCCAACCCAACGGCACTTCACCTCCGACCACTCTCCAGCGCCACTGCCGACGTTCTTGTCACCGCCGACCACTATCGAGGGCCACTGCCGACGTTCATGTCACCGCNAGTGACAGTCATGGGTGGGGGGTGGTCGTGGTTGAGGGAGATACCAAACCCCTAGATTGATATCTCCCATATTTTGGAGATATCAAAACACACCCCCATTTGGGAGGGTTGGAACCCATATCTACGCTCACCAAATATGCCCTAAGGTTCTTAGAGAAAGACATCACCCGTTGCGTTATTTGTCCTCAACTATTGAACCTTGCTGTTTATGTGGTGGAAGTAGAATAACTAAAAAGGGAAAAGGAACAAAAATGATCATGAGGCTGTGTTCACTATAACAGTTTAACATATCTATCTATAAATTTTAAAAGGAAAAATTCATTCCAATACTCCTAGAAATTTGAGATTTTAAACAAATACTGCAAGATTATATAAATATTGTTAGTGCTCTTGGAAAGTATATATTTTTACAATAACACTCGAGATTGCATATTGTTCATAAATAAGCCTAAAAAATGGGGGATCAATGTAAACTGAAAGTTCTCTTGGAGTATTATTGTAGAAGTATTGAATTTTAGAGAGAATTGGTGATAAATATGTAATCTTGGATTAAATCTCAAATTTTTGAGATTATTGGCATAAATTTTTCCATTAAAAAAACAGAATAGATTCTGAAGGTTGTTTACTGGGTATACAAAATAGTATGTCTTCATGCAATAGCTAATTTGTACCATTTATGTAAGTATTGTTGAAATCTTTCATTGGTTTCTTTGGCTCCTATTTCCTTATTATTATATTTTGATATTTTAAAATTACAATGTTGTGAGTTCTTTCAATGTATGTTTGTTTAATTTGGCTTTTATTTCTACATATGTTTAAATATATGCAAACATTAAGCTTCTAAACATTTTCCCCTCTTTACTGTCCAACTTTGCAAATTCAACTTGCAGACAGAGAAATGTGGCTCTGGCATTGTGGCAGATGAAGATATTAAGCGCAAAGAGTTTGTTATAGAATATGTTGGGGAAGGTGAGAGATTCAGTTTGTATATTTTGGTAAGATCATAATTATAACTCTGCACAGTATTTTCGGCATGCAAGAAAATGTTTGCTGCAGTTATTGATGACAAGACATGCGAGGAGAGGCTCTGGAAAATGAAGCACAGTGGGGAAACTAATTTTTACTTGTGTGAAATCAACCGGGATACTGTTATTGATGCAACTTACAAGGGAAACAAATCAAGATACATTAATCACAGTTGCTGTCCTAATACTGAGATGCAGAAATGGTATGGTTATCTTTTTACTGTAATTTTTATGCACTTCTTCATGTTGGGTACACTTCTTTTTCTATCTGATTCCTTTTACATGGTGTTGTATTATAGGATGATTGATGGAGAAACAAGAATTGGCATATTTGCAACGCGTGACATAAAAAGGGGCGAGCATCTAACCTATGATTATAAGTATGGGTGATGTGATTATAATTTATTACAGAGTATTTCTGAGCTCTAAACTTGAGTCTATGCAGCCACTTAGGCTCTACCTTTCCAAAGTACAAAAGGGTAATTGTCTCAAAATATTGTGGGGCAATTAGTTAGCGACTGGGTGCCCCTTCAGTCACCTAACCTGACTTTTATATGAGAATTTTCAAGTACCCCAATGGAGTAAGGATTATATTGGGCGAAGTGTTGTTACTATCTAAGCATCCCAATGGAGTAAGGATTATAATGGGCTAAGCGTTAGTTTTCTGCTTTATGAATTTATTCTATTGGGTTGTTTCATGTGTTTTTGCATGAAATTAACATGTTGGTACCTTACGTTTTTGAGGCAAATCCTGTATAAATTTGTCTAAAAAGGGTAGCAGGTTTGTACAGTTTGGTGCAGATCAGGATTGCCACTGTGGAGCGGAAGGCTGTAGACAAACACTTGGTGTCAAACCAACCAAGACCAAGATATCTTCATCAGATGCTGCATTGCATTTAGTGGCCTGCCAGGTGGCTGCTACTTCTCCCAAAGTGAGAGCACTTCTATCTGCAAGAGAGGTAATTGTCAACTACGGCGTATTAAGGTTTATTTTTACCAAGAGAGTTATGAATTATGATAGGTCTTGTCACAGTTGCTACTGGCCACTTTAGCAATTTATTTTGAAGTACCAACTGAATTTTACAGTAGATCTGCTGAATGTTTACCCTGGTAAATTAACTCTTGACAAATATGATCATAAGCATCATCATCATCATTGCTGTTGTTGTCGTCCTCAACTTTTCAATAGGATGATTTAATGTTTTTGCTTGGTGTAGTGTGTTGTGTTTGATTGGAATCTTCTACTTTTGCTTGCTGGACTTTCATTTCATTGTACTTGGTGCTTTATCCTGTTATATCCTGTTATATCTTGCTATCCTGTTATATTGTGTTCCCTACCATATTTTTTGTGCAGGTTGAGCCGGGGGTCTCTTGGAAACAGCCTCCCTACTTCTGAGTAGGGGCAAGGTCTGCGTACACCATAGTTGTGAATGGCGCTCGCCATTCTCGCCTAAGGCGCCTATGGCTTTGTGGCGACCATCTGACGCCATCTTCAGACCTGGCGAGGCGTTTTACGCCAATCTCGCCATAGGCGGTCGCCATGGACGCCAAACGCTGTGGCGAAAGGCGTTTGCTATCTACGCTTAATGCAGGTCAAGGGTTTTTCTTGACTTTTTTTTTAAAAAAACGCGCTGACCTGACCTATATCAGTACTCGATCGAAACACTTCATCGATTCATCTGCCGAGCCTCTGCCTCTGCCCTCTAGCCGTCGATCGAAATTCTCCTCGCCGACTCTGCGCAGAGCCTCGTCTCTCTCGCGAGTCCAAACAGCGCACTTCTTCGCAGTGAACTCTCTCTCTCTCTCGCGAGTCTAAACAGCGCAGAGGCAGAGTCAAAGCCGGCGAAAGTAAGACTCCACACTTCGCAGGTCACTCAGACTTTTTTTTGTTTTCTTATTGTTTTTTTTTTTGAATGGTTATTGTTTCTTTACAGCACACTTCGCAGGTCACACTCACACTTAGATATATTTTTTTCATTTTTTTTGTATAATAGTTTTTCAGCAATAACTCATGTTTTACTTTGATAATTATGTTTGATACAAAGTTAAGACTAAAAGTTTGGACTTAAACTATATATAAATATATATATATATATATATATATGTATGTATATGTATATGTATGTATATAAATATATATAATGTTCACCATTTGACCGCCCGCCGCTCGCCACGCTTCTCGCCATAAAAAAGAACCTCTCGCCCGCCACTCGCCATTCGCCATTCACAACTATGACGTACACACACCCTCCCCAGACCGTACTGTAGTGGGATTCAACTGGGTTGCTGTTGTTGCTTGGTGATAGTTTTTCACCATGCTGCACTAATTAGTTTCACTTCAGGGTGCCATTTAGGCCAGATAATATGAAACTTTTAAAATAAATTTTATTGTAGATTTGTTTAATGTTTTCCCTAGTTTTTGAATATTTGATACAATGCTCATCTTCTATTTGTTCTTGGAAGCTCAATTAGAAATAGAAAAGATGTTTTATTCATAGGCATACAAAAAGAAGATTATATGGTGATTTGTTGTTAAGGATAGGGGATGATATGTGATTCATGTAATAACATTAGTGTAAAATAAAACTACTCCCCTTCTGAATACGGCGTGAAACTTTGTAGTTAAGTGTAGTATGATCATTTCTAGCTTTTCTACAAAGTGCCAGTTTTTTCTGTTTTGCCACTTCATTTTGCTTGGAGTGTTATAACGCGAACTCTCGTGAAAGATACCTTTGTGATTCAATAATGATAGTCAAAACACCATTGGGCATTATCACTCCGTAGAGTTTTGATAGATTATCACTGTCCTCGATTTTAATTTTATTAGTCATTTCCACCCAAAATTAACATCCCACTTTTTTATTGGGGTTTCCCAAATTGAACTTCCCATTTCCTGTTTTTGGCATGTGTCTTTTACTACTTTTAAATGAAAGTACATTGGTTTCTTGATAGCCTACATATTTAATACCTTTTCCTTTCATGTTACCAAACCTTAAAACGTAGGCATGGGCGTTAATTATATATGCTTCTTTTGATAGTAAAGTAGCAGTTAGTTAATGCAACTTTCGACGCTCATCATGGGTCATCAGGAAACAACCGCTCTATGTCTTAAACATAGTGGTCAGGCTGGCCTCAGGCACTCAGGCTGCATACATCCGACCACCCTTACCTCGCAATGTGCATCTCCGTGCCATTTTAACATGGGAATATAATTTTTGGATGGAGGGAGTGAAATCTTTGATGTTTCGGCTAGTATACCCAAGCACACTCTAAAGCTCCTTAACAAGTTCATATGAATTTTTTCCCCTGTATGATGATTTTATATGTTCATTCTACGTGAAGTGTTCTACATGTAGCAGTAGTTCATTCCCACTCAGCTACACTTTAAAGTGAGTTTCAAGATTTTGCATGTTTTATCTTCATTAGCATTCCGAATGATTTTATGTCATCCATTAAGGAATTTAGATATTCCATGCATTTTTTTGCTAAATGCTATCGTCTGTGTTTTAACATGAAGGCCTACCTAAATGGCAGCCACCCAGCAGCAGGTAAACTTCTTGTACCTTCCTTTATTCATTTTTCCCAATCAACATTTCAAATGACAACATTTGGTTCAATGATTACTTGGAGGCTGTGTGATGATATTCTTTCCATGTTCAGGAAATTTGTGTCATGATCTTGTTCAAAGAGTAAGGTGTCCACATAGCTGCATTGGTCAAGTCATTAGAATAAGCCACTCTTCTAATGATTGGTTTGTCCGACTTCCCTTGTTTTTTTAATGAAGTCTTAGGAAGTAAATGCAGCAATGCATACCCTGACAAAATTAGGATTGCATTGGGTTCTTGCATTCCCTCCCCCAACCCCAACCGAATATTGAAATCACCCTGATAATGGAATGACATTGTATATACATATAGGTTTCATTATTAAGAATCTTTCGTTTGACACACTTCATAATGGGCTGCATTTCAGGTCTTTTGGAGCTATAAAACTGTATAACAGCACAACAAGAAAACATCTGGTAAGACTCCACGAGTTCATGTGTCACTGAAACTAGTATTGATCTCAAGATGTGACTTTTTTTGTTAACAGATACTGTTTGATGATGGGAAGAACGAGTATGTTGACCTGTCAAGAGAAGATTGGCAATTGTGTACACAGCAAGTTTAAGCATGTCCTATATTGTGTGTGAAAACTTTGAGCTCATCCTTTTTGCCTGCTTCTCCCATGCCTTAAACACAAACCTATCATTTACATTATACAAGCCATTGTTGAACGCTATGAATTTGGTCATTAGTCTTCTATTCATAATGAAGCCAGAGATTCTACTTTTGGGGCTTTGGTGTAGTCCTACCGAAGGTGTACTCTTGTCCTTTTTTTAAATAATACTGCATCATTTTCATTAAAACAAATGAAGCCAGAGATTAAAGAACAATATTTCCTACAATATACATTGCTATGTACTGTTTTAATAACTGAATGGCATTTAGCAGCTCATATATGGAGAAACAATGGATCAGGCCCGCAATAAAGTTTACCCTTGGATTGCCTTATAAGGCTTGAAGAGGTGGTTTTAGTTAGAAAAGTTTATGCTTCGTTCTGTTTTAAGTCACCTAGTTTGACTTTAACTAGAAAATAAGGAATGGAAAAATTAGAGTGACTTTCCAAAAATACCCTCAAAGTTATTTGCAAAATTATAGAAGTATAAAAACAACTCACCTCCACAAACCCATCCATTTGTCCATCAAAAAGAAAAAAAATCACACCACGATCTATTATCGTTTGAGGTGATGATACTTAGGTGATGATGGAGGAGACTGATGGATGAGAAAGAAGTTTTGGTGGAGAGATAAGGTTTGAGTAGAAGGGTAAGGCTCTATTTCGTATTATTGAATCTGATCTGAATTTTTGAAGTTTTGATCTGATTGATCTAGTCTGATTTGATCTGATTCAATTGAATCTGATCTGATTTGATTTGACTGGATCTAATTTTGATCTGATTGGATATGATTTGATTGGATTTGATTGAAATCTAATTAGATTTGGTGTAAATGAATTTAAATTTCATTTAAATTAAACTTAAATTTATTACTCCCTCCATCTATGAGTATTTGTCCACTTTTGACTCTTTTCGGTCAAAATTGGTAAATTTTGACCTCAAATTCAATAAAGATGATATTAGACAATAATACAAAAATAATTTTATTATATTTATTATATCAAGTATTTTCAAAATATTATTTCATCTAATTAATATACAATATATATTTTATTTAATTATAGGTCAAAGGTTGAAAATAATTGACCGAAAAAAGTCAAAACTAGACAAATACACAGGGACGGAGGTAGTACAAAATTTAATAGTTTTAAAGTATTACGATTCATATATGCATTAAAAATAAGAAAAATAGCTAATCATTGATATATTTAAACTTTTTTTTGAAATATTAAACATCTTTTCAATATCATTATTTTTTAATCTTTGTGAAAACTACTCCATCCGTCCCAATTTAAATCGTCTGTTTTGACTTTTGGGCATATTTAAGGAAAATAAAAACTAGAGTTGATTTTCCGAAATTGACATTACTTTTTAGGAGGGGTGATGATGAATGAGAAGATAAGGTGAAGAAGTGTGACTTATTTTAGGGGTAGTTTAGGTATTTTATTTTTAAAAGTTTACGAAAACAACTAACAGGCAACTTATTTTGGGACAGAGAAAAAAGGCAAACAAGCAATTTAAAATGGGACGGAGGGAGTAAATAATCAGTATTAAAATTACCAAATATTAGAAAATATGGATGTTATTCTACAAAAATGTCACATTCTATATTCATATTACATAATAATATATTTATGTTACAAATTAAAAATCATATAAAATCTTAAACATTAATATTCTTTTCACCTCTCTCAATTTTGTCAAAAACTAACTCTTGTGTATATTATATCATCTTAAAGTTTAAAAGTAAATCTTTTTAAGTATAAAATATTTATGGTTTTGAAAACTAAGTTTTGTATAATTATTTTATACGAGTAAACAAGTATTTTAAAACAACTCTTTTAAAGTATGAAAAATATAACTTTTTAAGCTTTAACATTGCCTCTATGCATCATTCCTAGAAGCTAAGCAATTATTAAAAATAATGGTTTGTTGTTGAAATATTATAATAATAATAATAATAATAACAACAACAACAACAACAACAACAACAACAACAACAACAACAATAATAATAATAATAACAATAATACTAATAATAATAATAATAATAATAATAATAATAATAATAAGAGTAATAATAATAATAATAATACAACAATAAAAATAATGTTTAAAATTATAATATTAATTAAGATTTAGGTGCGTGTAGCTTTTAATAAAGTAATGTAATTTAATCAAAGTTCAGGAGCACATGATAATCGATTATCACCTTTTGGTAATCGACTATCGAGAGGCGCTGCTAAACCAAGAACTTTGAGGGAGGACAGATAGTCGATTATCACCAATTGAAAATCGATTATCGTGGTTCGCTACTTAAATCAAGAGATTTTAGAAAGGTATGATAGTCAATTATCAGCACTTGATAATCGATTATCAGTGTTATCAGGGCCCAAAATATGGGTAGAAAATGGTGGTGTATGTGTGGGGAATGGCTGGAAAAATATGGAGATGGAGTTTTTTTGGTGTTTTTAATGGAAGAAAAGAATAAGATTAAAAAGAAGAAATGGGGAGATATGAAACGAAAGAAAATTCAGGGATGGATAAAACCAAGTTGGCGTTAAGAGATGTTACACACTCTTATCTTAACTTGGGGTTTGAATCTAGAATTAAATTAAGATATAACACACTTAATGAAATATCTAGAACCTAAAACTCACACTTAAGATAACCACTCTTAAGATATAGAATTAGAAAGTGTAAATTCCATAATTGGTCCTTTATAACATGGGGGTTTCCATATTTAGTCATTTATTATCAAATATTACCCTCGTAGTCTTTTTTAAGGGTACCTTTCTACAAATGGTCCTTTTTTTGATCTTCTGCCGTGTTGGTGTTAATTTAAAGGCTAAAAGTATAATTTGACATCAACATTATGTCTAGTGACGTGTTCTGATATTGGTTAAGTGGATAACACAAAAATAATGACTATGATTGTGGGCTAGGATTCTGACGAAGGATCACATTTGTAGACTATCGTTGTCGTAAAAAGCGACTGTAATTCACAAACGACACAAACGGAACAACCTTTGGAATTGTGTATGACAAAAAAGATATATTATCATTGTGAAATTACACTTTTAGCCCTCAAATTAACACCAACATGATAGAAGATCAAAAAAGGACTATTTGTGGAAAGGTACCCATAAAAGAAGGACCACTTGGATAATATTTGATAATAGAAGACTAAATACGAAAACCTCCATGTTATAAAGGACCAATTATAGAATTTACTCAATTAGGAATTTGACTAAAATAGCACTACACTATTTAAATAATACTCAAAGAGTAAAAGGTTTTTAATATAATTCCATTGTGTTCCTCCACATTGTCCATGTAACACACCAACTCGCGTAACCCGAACCAAGGAGTTAAGGAATCGGGTTGCTATTAAATTGATATTCACAACACAACAATTTAGACAAATTATTAAAAAACATACGGACACCCAGTTAATTACGAAAAGTTCAGAGTAAAGCCTATCAAGTGCGGAAGTATCAAAATAACGTTCTATAATAAATGTTTAACCCAAATAATTAAGGGAAAATTACCCAAAATAATCCCAACTTTACCCGGTCTTTCAAAAATAATCCTACCTTTCACTGTGATGCATAATAATCCCAACTTTATTGAAATTTGCAAGTTTTGGGTCGCCGTTAAGTTTCTAACGGAGGGTTAACGGAAATGCCCGTTTTAAGCAACAAAATGAAAGTTGGGATTATTTTTGATGAATTTTTGTTTTTTAATTTTTTTTTAAATTTTTATTTAAATTTTTTGAATTACTTTCAACCTCCATTTCTTTTATTTTTTAAAGATAATTCTTACCTTAGAAAAAAATAGATATAAAAAACAATGAAAATGAAAAAATAACTAAAACCATACAAAATTAATCAAATAAATAATGTAATCAATAGAAATTAAATAGAAACTGGTAAGAAATAAAATAAATGTATACGGAGTGGTGGATTTTAACATTTTACACACTATACGGAGTCTTAATGTACTACTTATTTTTTAAAAGAACAAGCCGTCTAGAAAAGTTGGAATTATTGTAGATAAGTTTTTTCTAAAAAATAAGAAGTGATACGTTAATACTTTATATAGTGCATAAAATATTAAAACCCACCCGCATATTTTTATTTTATTATTTTTGTATCATTTTAGGTACATTTCTTATTTTTTCCTTTTTTATATCTATTATTTTTTTTAAAACTAAGACTAATCTTTAAAAATTTAAATGAAAGTTTTGGGCAATTTAAAAAAAAATAAATATAAAAATTACTTTCTACCTCCATCATCATTTCTTTTTCCTTTTTTAAAGATTAGTCTTAGTTAAAAAAAATAATAGATATAAAAAAATGAAAAAAATAAGAAATGTACCTAAAATGATACAAAAATAATAAAATAAATAAGGTAATCAATAGGGACTAACTTGAAATTAGTAATAAGTAAAATAAAAATATGTGGGTGGGTTTTAATATTTTATGCACTATATAAAGTATTAACATATCACTTCTTATTTTTCAGAAAAAGCTTATCTACAATAATTCTAACTTTACCGGACGGCTTGTTTTTTTAAAAAGTAAGTAGTACATTAAGACTCAGTGTGTAAAATGTTAAAATCCACCACTCCGTATATATTTATTTTATTTCTTACCAGTTTCTGTTTAATTTCTATTGATTACATTATTTATTTGATTAATTTTGTATGGTTTTAATTTTTTTTTCATTTTCATTGTTTTTTATATTTATTTTTTTTCTAAGGTAAGAATAATCTTTAAAAAAGAAAAGAAATGAAAGTTGAAAGTAATTCAAAAAATTTAAATAAAAATTTAAAAAAAATCAAAAAACAAAAATTCATTAAAAATAATCCCAACTTTCATTTTGTTGCCTAAAACGGGCATTTCCGTTAACCCTCCGTTAGAAACTTAACGGCTACCCAAAACTGGCAAATTTCAATAAAGTTGGGATCATTATGCATCACAGTGAAAGGTGGGATTATTTTTGAAAGACCGGGTAAAATTAGGATTATTTTGGGTAATTTTTCCAATAATTAAATAACACAATAATTAAATGTTCAAGTGACATCATCAACGGCATCACGCGTCAACGTCCTTCAGGCTGGCCCTCTTGTCCCAAACCCCTACCTGCGTGCAATCAAAGACAACAAGACTACACGCTCAGCTCGAAGCTGAGTGAGAAAAATATCTAGTGCTACAATTAAATTCACAGATAGTATCACATTTATATAATCAACAACAGCAGTGAATAATCAACATTTATTTTCAATGACAAGGATCCAACAGTTTCAATTTATTTATTCCCAAAGAGCTATTTTTGTCCTAACAACACTAAGCCTAAATTCAACATACTAGAGTTACAGACACTCGAGCGGATCCCTTGAGGCCGATGCTCGGACAAACCGAAAGAGAATCCTCAATGGGCAAGTTGACCAAGCAATCCCTTAGGTAGAACAGTGACTCCCGTACGTACATTTTGAACCCTAGACCCCTGGATATGCAAACATGCTCCACAAGGCCCGAACCTAACAACAGTCCTATTGGTGATTAAGCTATCCAATTCTGTTCAGATCCTCCTAGGTATACTAGGTGGCCAATTTTCAACAGAGTTCTCAACTGATAACAATTACTAAAATATTTCCATAAACAGAACAACACAATCAGTAGTCTATCGGAAGAATCACTTCTCACCGATTATCGTCATGCTTAAACAACACGATTTAACCCAAAAATATTAAAAATAACTTACCTGTGTCGCGAACTCGGGACTAAGGACTTATCCTCAGGCTCGCTGCACCCGCCCGGACAGTATCAATTACCACCGTATCAGCCCGACAACCCGCTGGACCGACCCGGCAGCCCCAACCCTCTGCCCATTCGGGCAGCCCCTCATTACCAGCCCAACACAACCGGCCCAATGGCCCAATGCAACTGGCCCAACAGCCCGGACCCAACGGCCCAGTAGCCCGGACAGCCGGCCAACAACTCGGGCAGCCGGCCAACAACCCGGGCAGCCCCCAACCTGACTGCCAGCCAACTGCCGGACCGGGCAGCCCCACCAGCCTACCCAAAACAGGCCCAATTAAGCTAACCCAACCCAATTTGACCCAATTGGACCCAAATTGACCCAATTGGACCTAAATTGACCCCATTGGACCAATTGGGTCAAAGTCAAACCTTGTCTAACCCGTCCACTGTCACTGCCGGTGGTCCGCCGCTGTGACCCGCCGGCAAACGGCTGGAAATCCAGCCCCAACACCACCCACAACAAATTCAACATCCAAATCAATAAACCCAACAATCAATTCACACAATTTCACAAGATTAACACAAATGAGATCCTAATCTATGAATTAATTCTAACGATAGATAATTGGACAACGAATCACCTCGATTAACGAAGAAAGCTTGAGTCGCAGAGAGAGAGAGAGGAAGAAAACACCGCTGCTCGTCACAGCTCGCGCGCACGCCGGTGGAAGGAGGAAGGAGCGAGAGGGAGATGGCGGCGGCGCTGTTTCTATTGTATTGGAGGCTCGCCGGTGGTGCTGTGGGTCGGCTGGACGAAGGCGACGAACAGGGCACAAGAACCTTACGGACAAACGAATCACCTCGATCCCAAAGTTAAAGATAAATTTAAGTCCAAATAAGGAGGTTGTATCTTGGGCCCAGTAAATCTGATTCTCAATCCGTTTGCACGGTCGGGTTCTATTACAGCGAGCCCTACAACGTAGGTTAACTCTCATATTAAATACAAAAATTAGAAAATTATCTTCGTGTTGACCGACTTAGTAGTTAGTTAATTATATAAATTAATTAAAAATATTAAGTCGGGTTTCGGGGCGTTACATTTCTCTCCCCATAAAAAAATTTCGTCCTCGAAATTACCTGAATCATTACCATTAAAAAGATGAGGATACTGAACTCTCATAGATTCTTTTGTCTCCCACGTAGCCTTTTCAACATCATGGTTACACCACAAGACTTTGACCAAAATCACCTTTTTGTTCCTCAACTCCTTTACTTCCTGTGCTAGAATCTGCACGAGTTCCTCTTCATAAGACAAGCTATCATCATGGGTGACTACCCCTTTGGTTAGTCGATGCGTGGGATCGGATCGGTAACGACGAAGCATAGAGACATGGAACACATTATGGATTCTGCTCAACTTAGGGGGTAGTTCCAGCTGATAAGCAACATGACCCACCCTTGTCGTGACAGGATAGGGTCCGATGAATTGGGGACTCAGTTTCCCCCTCCTGCCAAAACGAAGAACCTTCCTCCAGGATGATACCTTGAGGAAACCTTATCCCCTACCTCGAAGGAGATTTCCTGACGCTTCAAGTCTGCATACGTCTTCTGTCGGCCCGAGGCCACCTGCAACCGGTCTTGTACCAACTTCACCTTCTCCTCGATTTCCCGTACTAGCTTGAGACCTTCCAACCTTGCCTCACTCAGCTTGGTCCAACAAACAGGAGTCCTACACCTCCTTCCGTACAATGCCTCATACAGAGTCATCTGGATACTTGCTTGGTAACTGTTATTATAAGCAAACTCGATTAAGGCAGATATCGTTCCCAATTTCCCACAAGGTCAACCACGCATGCTCTCACCTTGTCCTCAAGTATCTGAATCACGCGCTGAGATAGACCATCGGTCTGAGGGTGAAAAGTTGTACTCGTATTAAGCTTGCTACCCAAGGCTTGTTGAAATCCCTTCCAGAACTTCAATGTGAAACGAGGATCCTGGTCAAAGATAATGGATAGAGGTACACTATGAAGTCTGACAATCTCACGTATGTAAAGCTCAGCTAACTTTTGAAGTGACATGTCCGCCTAATGGGTAGGAAATGCGCAGATTTCGTGAGGTGACCCACAATGACCCAAAGGTAGTCCAATCACAAAGTCCATAGTGATCTGCTCCCACTTCCACTCGGGAATGGCAGGCGGATGTAATAGTCCGGATGGAACCTGATGCTCGGCTTTAACTTGCTGACAAGTCAAACAACGCGTTTTAAACTCGGAGATCTCTTTCTTCATGACTGGCCACTAGTAATTTCCCCTCAAATCATGATACATCTTGTTGCTACCCGGATGCATGGCGTAAGCAGACTCATGAGCCTCGCGCAACAAGTGCTCCCTCACAGCCCCGCCTGGTACCACCAACCTATTTCGGTAGAACAAGATTCCATCTGCTCCTATAGTGAACTCCTGTCTCTCCCCCTTAGAGACAAGGTCGCGGGCCTTGCGGCAAAACTCATCATCCAATTACGCGCTTCATATCTCCACATCCAAGGTCGGCCGCACGTGTAATTCAGCAACTAACTTGCGGCTCAAGGCAACAACAACCACATTAGCCCTGCCTGAATGGTACTCAATAGTGAAGTCATAATCCTTTAGGAACTCCATCCAGTGCCTCTGTCTAAAGTTTAAATCCTTCTGCATCAGCAGGTATCTTAAGCTCTTATGGTCAGTAAAGATGGAAATATTTTCTCCAAATACGTACTGTTGCCAAATCTTCAGGCAAAAGCGACGGCTGCTAGCTCCAAGTCGTGCGTCAGATAGTTACCCTCGTGGGGTTTTAGTTGTCTTGAGGCATAAGCAACCACCTTGCCATCCTCCACAAGTACACAGCCCAAACCACACAGAGACGCATCACTTGATTTTGGAAAGAGGTTTTGTCAATTTCTTACGAAGATACCATCTCCTTTCACATGTGGAAGTCTGACCATCATCAATGGGTCAAGGGGAGAACAACCAGTGTAGTCAACGTACAAATGTAGATTACAGATAAACTCTAACAGTTCAAAAATATTAGTCGTTCATTTGTCATGATAGTCAGACCCAATGTTCGTACAATCATACCCATGCGACAAAGTGTTTCAAGAGTTACTTCCAATGATTCGTCAGTCTTCAACGCATTTCTTAAGCGAGTCTTTCGAAAACCCTTCATTAAACGATCTACATTCGTTCGTGATTAAATTCGGGAGATGTCGCACATCAAATAGTAAGTTATCGGCTTGTTTCTTGTGGAACAAGTTTCATCATGATTCATCCATCATCGGCAAGTTTGATTTGTGAGTCTAAGGAACTTTGTTGGAATTTGCGGCAACACTCGTTCTTTTGCGTGTCATCTACATCTCGCATTTGCCTTGTGCGATTTGTTGTTCAGCCCACGTGATTTCAATCACATAATCAGATTTCGTACTTGTTGTCTAACAGTTCATGCGTCATACATGTTGGTTCTATATTGTTAGCATTCATCGTCGTCATGTGGTCGTCGTCATTCGTATTCTTTCGTGCCATGTGTTTCATTTCTACGGCATCAGTGATTATCGATACATGGTTTCGTTAGGTGTACAACGTACCTTAGTCATCATATCCTTGGGAGTGTATCATACGCCTTACCTAGCTCGAGTATTTCGCGTGGTGTTAATCACAGGATTCTTCTTGTCAATACTTTGCGTCCAAGTCACATTGTGATGCGAGTACAATCTTTCGGATGGGGTGTCTTTGTGAAGTTGCATCACGCACATTCATTGTGTTCATGTTTGCTTCAGCTTCATACCCTCGACGGGTCATGCTTGGCCAGTGTACTCAATATAGTTTGGTGTTCAGATTACCGTGTCTTACTCCTTTCAAGCGGTACATAGGGATATCATAATTTCATGTTCTTGGCATGCATTTAGAGGTTCGTCCCCAAGTTTCAGGTGGCATTCAACTTTATGACACGACATTAATAATAGCGTATTCGATATTAAGTGCATTCATCGATCTCGGAGTTGGATCACTCTTCAGGAGTCGTAACCTAAAATCTTCAAACGGCATAGTCGAGATTACAATGATTCGTTCTTGATTCATTAAAGTTATTTTTCCAAAAATTCTCTAGGTCATACTATTGAGAGTAAGTGGGCATTCTACTAACGTCACCACTATCACAATCGATGTCATCAAAACATGCTAATTAGACTTGTCACGGATCAGGAGCCCTTCAACGATGTGTCAGCTAATGGCCAAACACGCTTCCACGTGTCGACGTCGTAACTTCTTTCGAGTCTGCTTCATTCGTTTTATCTTTTCGGTCAGGGTACGTCGATATTTAACGTCTTGCGATATAGATTATTCATTACATTCTTTTGATTTGTATCCAGTCACATCACTACACTATGATGTGTTGGGAGTAAGTACTACTTTTTTTAATATTGAAACAAGTTCTTCTGGTCCTCTATACGATCATTCCCGTTTGATACCAAAATAAGACTCACTCATCCATCTAGGTCTGCAGCCCCTTCAAAATTTGGTTATCCATTTCAGTGATCAAATGAGATAATCGAATATTAGACAAGATATTTTAATATGTGTGTACATTGTTACACTCTTTTCTTTTGTTACTTATCGCCTTAAAACTTTAGCAGCTCAGGTTCAAAAGTAACTTCTTACTTTGACTTTTTTTTTCTTCTTGAAGTCGCCTACGCGCTGAGTTAGCACGTGACGCATGATTTTTTTAGTAACGCGATCACACTAGTCTTCATGAATAATTATAAATTCTTCTTCTATAATTTACTTCTTCGGGATTCACTACACATTTGTTTCCATAACCAACAATTTTTTTAATTTAATTTTTTTTCAATCTTCTTTTGCTTATGTTCCCCGTTTTTTGGAAACTTTTTTTAAACCACATGTTAGTTAACGAACAAAACCACAAACAATCAAGACAACAATTTGACATAAGCACATAATAAGGATTCAGAGTAACCTCCTGGAGCAGTGACGTCGCAAAACTTTGGATGCCCATCTTCTAAACTATTCAATTTTTTTTGAGATTTTCATTTTCATTTATTCATTTTTTTCCGAAGACATACATTTGATTATATATATATATATATATATATATATATATATATATATATATATATATATATATAATGGAGAGCGTTTTAGAGAGAAGGGAGAGCTTCTCTGATTTTCCAGTTCTTTCTATCGCCGATTCACACCTTGCGACGCCGGTGCATCATCCCGGAGATACTGGCCCATCCAACTGGCGATCTCCTCTATCCCTCCCTTACATCGACGTACTTCGAGGATTTTCAACATCTGCAGAAGTAGCAGGTAGAGGCGATCCCACAGCAAGTCTCCTTCCGCCTCTTGCCCAATTTCAAGTTTCTGAAGCCCTAAGGCGAGAACCACCAGAGAGAATCCAATCCACAACCCAGAGCCCGGCAAAATTTCGCATTGAAGGTAAGATTTACACCTTCACAAAATCAATTTTCAATAAGAAAATCTGCGTTACTGAAAAAAGTAGGAACAAAAGCTTCAACATATGGTTAGGGTTGAACACATGTGCTTGGCTTTTAGAGGTGCTTCAGTCTCTTACAACTGAAGGAGGTCTGCATACTTCCTACCGAAGAGAGAAGAGGAGACTGCTCACCATATCCTTTCACTCCTACAGATTTGGTAACCATCTCAAAATCTGTGAGCATCACCAAGACGGCAAGACTTGGGTTCTCATCCCTGAAGGTAATCAAGGTTCAGTTATTATTTCGTTCACCTCCTGCTTTAAGAAAATTTATGACAACTTAAGGTCTTCTATTCCCCATCCACCTCCTTTTGTTGACAATGCCTTAATTTGTGCTTGGACTCAACCTACTCTTCAACAACCTTCAAACTCCATCTCTGCCACCTTACTAAAATTGGAATTTTCAGAGAGTGTGTACCTCCCCCTGTTGGAGTTGGTGCCCTTATGGCCAACTGCTGTTGTAATATCTTAGATATTTTCTATCATGTAAAGGCAGATGCATTAAGTTTACAAACATCTCATGCTAATGTAAACTCTTAATTGCATTCCTAGAATTATATTATAAGATGTTTATCAGAATGAGTCTTCTGATGTTGAGACTAACATCTTGTCACTTAGTATAATTCTGAACGGTCTATAGTCGAAGCATTAACGAGAGCAGGATATCGTTAATGCGCGTGAGACTAGTGAGAGTTAGATGTTTGACCTAGTCTCTTGGTCAATGACGGAGTGTTCGCATCTACTCTTGGGCAGATATTATCGTTAATAATAAGATGCCAGACCTGACCCACCTTAAGGGCATTGCCTAGACTTTTAGTCTATGCTCTAAGTGTCCTTAATGCGACTATTGGTATAACGATCCTCAGACTTGAAGTATTACGCTCTTCGAATGTGTGAACCCGCATCCTTTGATTCATTGTCCTAAGCCGTATGAAATAAGGATGGTACACAGGCTTTGTATTGGGCATGCCGCTGCACATATTCGAAGACGTAGATTACGTACAAAGAATTTGTCACTGCTATTCAAGTAGAATAATGTCTTGTAGGGGCCCACTGATAAGTATGACTGAAGAAATGCATGGCCATGCTGAGATGAGTTTAGACATCTGTTCTCATCAGTCAGACTTGTTAATCAGTAAATAACTTAATGGCTACAAGTTGGATATTTTATATCCCTTGCACTAAGTTAAGACATTGGGACAAAAGGATCTACGTTATACAAAGTCTTAGTCGTAGAAAGGTTTTGACGGAGCAAACGTCTGAACTTATAATCTGGGGGTAATAATGTGTTGCTGGATACCGCTTATTACTTATAGTATTGGTGTAGAGTCAATACTGTGGCCAGTTTTATAAGTGCCTATATAGGTCACACACTTTGGACAATTTAAAGAGTAGGATTATAAGAAGGGATAATATTTAATTTGTATATTGTAAAATAGTAAAATAAAATGTTTAATATAATATACGTATATATACATATTTTGTACACGCCACTCACATATAAATATATGTATACATAATTGATATGTACGATTATATATATGTGTGTGTAATATGTATGCAACGTGTACATATATGTATATATTACTTTATTTATATATTATATTGTGTACATTTTATTTTGGAGTGTCATTTTAATTATGAAAATAATTAGTTTGACAAAAACTATTTTAAAGTATATTTTATATACTTGTTTTAAAATGTTTTGGGTATTTTATTTTAAATCATAAAAATTATTGATGTCAAATAAAATACACTTTAAACATTTGAGAGGAGAGAATTTTAAATTCATCCCCCCTACCTTTCGTACATGGCTTTGAGTGGAGGGTCTCCCACTTTGTAATGTGTGGAGGAGAAGCTTTGGACAAAATCACTTTGGCATTTTGTTATTGTTGATGTTTTATCACCTTGATAAAATAAAAGGATTTTTCACACACACCACACACTTGAACTTCGGCCAAGCAAAGAGAGGAAAGAGAAAATATTTGAGTTCCCAAATATTAATATTTTGTGTAGAAAATTGATATAATATTTTCTTTAAAATATTATTGATATATTTTCTACTATTTAATATACAAGATTTATATTATCCCTAAAATAATCTTTATATTAAATATACTATTATAATCTTTACTAGCATAAAGATTATAGTAGACTCCGGAGATTGTTCGTGTGTCAAAGTTGGAGGCCGGACGCTTGAACGGCTACGTTTGCTCCTTCAACACCTTTTGCTCGACTTCTCGTTCATACCGCTTTACTGGAGAAGGTATAAGTTTCTATCTCTAGCTATAGTTTTAGTACGTATTCTTGGGCTAGTAATCACTATTGGGAGATTAAATTTTTGTATTTCCGCTGCCCTCCCTACCGTGGTTACCTTTCAGTGGTATCGGAGCCAACGTACAAAACTATAGTTTTTGTAGAACTTTTTTGGTTGAAATTTTTTTAACTTGGTAATTATTTGTTAATTTCGAAAATTAGTAAAATGATTTATTTTAGTCTTGGAATAAATATTGGACTTAAATAAATCATTAAAATAAATATTCATTATTTATTTGTGCCGAAAATATGTATTTTATACATATATTCGGAAATTTCGAATATATATTAATATATATATTTCGAAATTGTTAATATAATTTTATTGAACATAAAATTTCATTTTATGGTTAGTAAAACTATATTGTAATTTTCGAAATTGTTTATTTCCAATTTTTGAGTTAATTGTATTTGTTTAGATTTAATTCTAATAAATCTTAAATAAATATTAGAAACTCAAAAATGAACTTTATAAAACTTGGAAATATTATTTCTAGGTGAAATAAAGTTGTTCATAAATATATTGGCAAAATCATATTAGTTAGTAATTAATTATATATATATATATTTCGGTATATATATATTACCGAGTAATATATATAGATATATATATTAATTGAAAATGGCTAATATCATTTTGGAAAATTATATCTCAGTAAAAAGTAAGTTGATTTTTCTAAATATTAAATTTTATAATTTAATGATTTTTGAAAAATGGTTTAAAATTTATTTTGCAATTATTGAGATATAATTAATATATTTGGAATAAACATTGCACTAGGGGCATTTTCGTAATTCTGTGTTTCCTGGAAAATTATTTTCCAGTTTTGCCCCTGCCCGAAAGTCTCTTAATATATTTAGGATGACTTGGTAAAATTTCATAATATTTGGACCAATTTATGAATTTTTATGAATTTTAGAAAATATTACCAACGTAGTATTTTTCTAGAATTGTCGGGGGCGAGCGCGGTTCGCCCGGTGTATGTATATCTCTATTGCCTGTGTGGATGTATGATATGCATGGTGGATGATTGTGGCTTTAGTTATTCATTATTGATGTAATTTAAATACGGCCTGCGTGTCGTGCCTCATCTCAAAACTCTTGTTGTAAATCTATTTCTCTCTCTTACCTCAACCGAGGATTCTTTTCTCACGTGGTGGTTAGAAGATAAAAGGATTTGAAGTCCGCTCGAGGGAATCTAAAGGAATGGAGATAGCCTGAAGTCCAAATGCCTGGAAGTCAGTGGGAGGTATCGTTTTATTTTTCCTTTAGGGGCCACAATCATTACACGTTTATTTACTGCGTATTTTGAATGCATGTGAATGTATGTTTTACGCTAGTAAATTGACACGTGCGCGGCATGTGTCGTAGGTGAGATCGTAATTAATATAAAATCCCTCAAAATATTAAGTCTGTATTGCCTTCCGGCGCCCGGCACCTTTCCGGCTAATGTGCACTGTCACGTACTCAGCCCTAGCAGAGGGTAGTACGGTGTATGTTATGCTGGTCACGGGAATCACTTAAGTGGTCATTGTCAGACGTTGGGTTAGACTTAACTGAGTCTCGGTCAAATGGATGGATGACTCAGAGGCGGGTTTCGTTGGGGTCACTATACTGACAAGTCGAATTACTTTACTCACTCATCGAGCCAGAAGTTGGGTCTCTATGACTTAATTGGGCTTAACCCTAACTAAAGTAGTTGTGCATGTGGTACGTGCCAAAGCCAATCACATGTATAATGAAACGGTGTTCTGGTCCGTAAGTAGTATTGTCGTTCGCCCAACACAAGACCAAGAACTATGAGCGCGGCTCGACAGTTGGAACTATGTTCCTACCTAAATAGTTAAATTCTAGGTACGAACCTCAGGTCAACTAGAATTTAATGATATATGGATCTTGGCCCATTAAGAGAATCTCTAGGAGAATCTCCGAATCAACATTGAGGGTTGTTGGTTTGTTAAAATAGTGGGAAATAATTAATTAAAGGCCTAATTAATTATTCAACATGATAGAAAACCTAGTTTGCAATTTCATCCTGTAGATGGCATCAAATAACACATACAGTCATTCCATCAACCTGCGGTATATCCTCGAGAACCAAAAACTCTCTGGGGAAAACTTTCTTGACTGGGAGAAGAACCTACGAATCGTTCTTGACTGTGAGAGGAAACTTTACATCCTCGAAACGGATCCTCCCAAGACCCCTAAGGCAAATGCTCGTGCATCCGAACTGACTTCCTTCAAGAAGTATGAGGACGACGCGCGAGATGTTAAGTGTATCATTATGGCAAGTATGACCGCGGAGCTCCAAAGGCTCCACGCGGACATGGAAGCGCGTCCTATGATACAACGCTTAAGAGACCTATTACAGGGTCACCCCAAAAACTCGGGTATTTACGTTATTGAAGTCAACATGTCTGATTTCACCTCTTGGGTGATGGATACGGGATGTGGTTCTCACATCTGTACTTCTATGCAAAATTTGCATGAAGTTAGACATTTGACTGAGGGAGAAGTCCAGCTTAAGGTTGGAAACGGAGCACTTGTCAATGCGCTGGCTGTAGGAACTTATGTTCTATCTCTCCCCAGTGGCTTGTTGTTGCATTTAAACAATTGCTTGTTTGTACCTGCCATTAGCAGGAATATCATTTCTGTGTCCTTTCTTGACAAAGCAGGATTTTCTATTAACGTAAAAGACAAGTGCCTTTCGGTTTTCAGAAATGATATTTACTATGCAACTGCTAAGATGACCAATGGTCTTTATATCTTAGACTTAGACGCCACTGTTTATAACGTAGATGTTAAGAGAAGCAAACCAAACAGTTTGAATCTCACATACCTTTGGCATTGTCGTTTGGGCCACATTAACAAGAAACGCATATCTAAGTTATGTCACTCTGGCGTACTTGATTCATTTGACCTCGAGTCTTATGATGTATGCCAATCTTGTTTACTCGGTAAAATGACAAAGGCTCCATTCACCGGTCACGGTGAAAGGGCGAGTGATGTATTAGGCCTCATACACTCTGATGTATGTGGCCCAATCAACACTGAAGCTAGAGGTGGTTTCTCATACTTCGTAACATTTACTGA